GTGGCTGCAACTTCTTTAGGAGGAATTAGGCTGCATTCCATGTGGTCTGAGGAGGTTCATCCTTGGTCCAAAGTTCTAACTCAATGTCTATTCTTATTTCAGTTCCTGTCAACATGGCTGCTCACCCAGCTCTACCTCAGGCCCTTCCTCTAGCTGCTGCTTTCCTCAGAGGTAACTAAACTATCTTCTACACTAGGGATTCAGAACTTCTAAATACGTATTTACTTTTGTACTTACTATTTTTCATTTATTATTCAACAATTATTAATCAAGAGTCTGTCATCTATTTCTAGATATAAGTAAGTAATAATTCTTATATGAAAATGTAGCTTTGTGACTGGCTCTCAAAGAATACTAGTTGAATGACCCAGAAGAATCCAGGCAGCAAGTGATTGGTGAAGGAATGGTCACTTACCTGTAGGGCCAGAAGGATTCCTCTTCTACTTCTGTCATGGCATCACTTGACATTTCCCTTCTTTTTCTTTGTCAGATAGTTGTTTTCGAGAACTACCTCTTCCTTTCACCTTGACCCTGTGCCCTATCCTTTTTGTCCTGGAATTGGTTTGTTATGCCAGAGAAGGTTAAAACCCCTAATGGAGGGGAGTCGGCTGTACCCTTCCAGACTAGTTTCCTTCTGAAATAAGGTGACTGTTACTTATCTTGATTTTCTACTTTAAATGTCCTCCAATCTGCCATTAGTACCTCAAAGAATAATAAGAGAAAAGTTACTCTCTTGATCCTGGCCTGATTTTAAAAATTCCTGACGTTCTTCCACTTGGAATATGCTTCTTGTGTTCCTATTTATCCCTTAAAATTCAGGTCAAGTATGCTCCTGGTAAATCCTTCCCTGATCATCCCTTGCCCCCAGAATAGGAATTTTGTGCTGGCTTGGAAATCCAGTCACCTTCTGCTATGGTCTCAGTGTTTGCATCTCCCCACAATTTATATGTTGACACTCTAATCCCCAAAGGGATGGCATGAGAAAACCAGGCCTGCAAGGACAGATTAGGTCCTGAAGTCAGAGCACTCGAGCACAATTAGAGTCTGTTAGGGTTTTGAGTGAGGTCTGAGTGTCCCCCAAACATCCACTGTGGTTAAAAACTTGGTCCTTATGGTGGTGATGGATTCTTTGGGAGATGAGGTCTAGGGTGACTGCTCAGGCCCCCGGGGGCTGCCCATGGGAGGGGCTGTGGGATGGCAGTCCCTCTCTCTGACCGTTTGGCCATGTACGCTCTTACACACACACACACACACACACACACACACACACTCTCGTGCAGGGAAATGCAGCAGTATTTTCTACATTATGGCCCCTGTGGAAATTGGTTTTATTTCTCTCATTCTTCATGTCTGAAGCTTCAGCATATCCAGAGAGTGCAGAAATCAATCTTCCAGAACTTCAGCATGTTGAAGCAGCCTTTCTGGCTGCATACCAAAGGGAGTCAAGACTTGAACCCTTTTGACTAATGCATTCTGTGTGACGACTGTATTATGGAAGGCTCTGAAGAAGGATTCTTGGAAACTCAGTGAAACTATTAGGTCTTTCAACATGATTTGTTTTTCAACAATGACCTTCAATAAACCATTGAACTTTCCTGGATCTGTCTTTTCATATCAACATTAATGCAGTTGAACCAGGGGAGATACTTTCCTTAGACTTTTGAGTGCTATCTATCTATTTTAGTATTCAGTTTGAAAATCCAGAAAAACAAATTGAGCAGGTCTCACAGTTAAATGTAAGTACTCTATTTAAAATCAAATCTTCACCATCATTAAACTATCTGAGAAATTTAAATGGACTTTCCTCTACACTTTTTAAAAATTTCCATCACCCCAACTCGTATTCTTAGCTTGTGATCCCAGATATATATTAAATATGGTGCGCATGTATTTCACGTGTGATTCAGTTCTAACATAGTGTCAGTAGAAGGGTATTTTCGGCCAGTTTAATATGTGATTTCTATCTCTTAATACAGTCGTGCTGTCCGGATACCTACCAACCTTTAAAATATCAGTCCTTCGTCTTGGGGAACTCTCCATGTCAGGAGTTCTGCCTTCCGAAGGTCAAGGCCCCCAAACTTTCTTTCCTAGCTCTTGAGCAGCTGGAAGGTAGCAGCTCTGTGGCTTAGGTCCCACTGATCAGACACACAACCTTGAGACCGAGGGAGACTGAGCAGTTGAGGAAGCAGAGAAGAGCCAGGAGAGCCCCCCTTCTGGAAGGGGCTGTGGTGGAGGCTCTGCAGTGTAGGGTGCACCTATGATTGGTAGCAGCAGGGTGGCAGCAGAGGGGGATACCATGGGTAGGAGATTAGGGCTGGAACAAAACCAGTCAAACAAGGGGGTGTAACCTGTCTTCATGGAGACCCCAGGGCACATGCCCAGCACATAGGACCCAGGGTGACACAGTTTCTGAGCACTATAGATTGGACCAAGCAGACAAGCACTGCTCTCAACTCTTCATTTACACCTGCCAGGATAGCAAGTAAACCTCCTAGAGGACAGCTTAAATCTGAAGTGACTTTCCGATAGGACAAGTGTCTTTATGCCTTCTTTGCATGAGGGAGAAGTAATCTGGAAATCTGAGACGCAAAGACCCTTTTCCTTATCCTTGTGGCTGCTATGAGTGTTCCCTGGCCCACTGTCACTCTGCGGAGCTCATTTCTCCACCTTCAATAAATGCACATTCTCACTGCCTTATCTGTGTCTTGTCCAGTTCTTTGTTCAGGACACCAAGAACCTGGAAAGAATTTCCTTCGACCCCACAGCCAGTAACAGATTGGTTAGGGTATTGTTCATTTGCAGCAGCCTAACCGTGGTCCTCTGTGAACTTCCAAGTACATTTTAATAAACCTTTTCCTGCCGAAACTTGGCAGAGTGAGCTTTGTTCCTGACAAATAAGAACAATGACCTATAGTGTTTGGTATCCAAATATGTTTTTGTACATTGAGAAGCTAAATATTTACTTTGCAAGCAAAAGAAAAAATTCCAGTTGTCTCTTCTTACCTCAAGATATTTTTTTGTTCATGAAATTTGATGATACTTCAGAAACATTTATTCAACACATCTTGTGCTCAGAGCTAAAAGAATATGGTGATTAGTAGGGCACAAGGCCTGTCCCTGAGAGTCCACATCTGCTTCAAAGCTGAGTAGCTAATCCTGGATGGCTTAATAATTACAATAATGCCAAACATTAATGAGGACTTGGCCTGCTCCAGGTACCCTCGGAGCTCCATGGCTCCCCCTACAGCCCACGGAGTAGGACCAGCTGTTATTCCTACAGAGGGGGAAAGCAGGGAGCTTGAGAAGGCTGAGGCACTTGTCTGTGGCACCTGCCTAGCAGGAGCAGAGCAGAGCCCCATATCCACATCTCAGCGCCCCGCGATGGCCCCACACTTATGTCCCTGTCAGTGTCCATTTCACCAACAGCACTTACACGTGTCATGTTCAAAAGTACATCCCTTTCATTGTAAAGTTGGAAGCCAACAGTCACAACTGAACTAGGAAAAAGTAAAGATTCCCCTCCTCCTTTTCAGAGACAAAACTGAGGCCCTACCACAGACCCTCAGTTTCCTTTGACGCATCAGAGAGAGAGACTAGAACTTTGAAACAGACTCCTTTAAATGCTTTACCTCCCTGTCCTATTCTTAACCCTCTGTGGCTTATTCTTTTGGCACCAGGGATTGAACTTGGGACCTTGCGCTTATGAGGCAGGTGGTGGAAACACTGAGCTAAATCCCCACCCCTAAAAAGATGAATGATTATTTGTCAGGCTCTTTTTTTGGTTTTGTTGTTGTTGATTTGTTTTTTGAGTGGCTTATTCTTAAAACATTAGCCAAAATGAACCAATCCATGCCCTGATTAAAGCCTTCCAGTGTCAGGAAGTCTTTCTTGAAAGTAATCTTTGTAGGAAGAGCTTCCTGGGTCCTCCCTATGTGAAATGTTAACTCATCTTATAGGGCCTGTAGGCAGAGAAAGAAGAGGATAAGGGCCTCATTAGGTTTTCTGGCTAATCTTGACTAGGAATTAAAACTTTACTAGAGAAATTCCCCTGGGAACAGTTTCAAGGACAAGGGTGGAGAGAGAAAAGAAACCCAGACAAAAATGGTACAAGATAGCACAGGTGGCATTGGGACTCACCAGAGGGAAAACTAACAGGCAGAGCTTAGAGAGAGCCAAGTGTACAAAGCCAAGAAGCCAAGATAGCCGTCCTTCCCCACCACCAATAGAATGCAGGGCAGACAGAGGATGGAGGGGGCTGACTGACTTTGGGGAAGGCTCTTTTTCAGTGTATAAAAATATACACTCACATCTATGCAATATATGTAGGGTCATTACAGTACCTCAATAGATATTCACACATCCCCAACCAACTGCTTATCCTGAAGATAAGACCCTGACAAGGACAAACAGGAAGAAAGAAGTCATACAAAGCTCACTATAAGCAATGTAGACATAGGCAAGTGTGCCTGGTTTAATCCAAGGACAGCCCAGTAAGCCAATCAGGTCATGACAAGTTCCAGGTAAGGGGGAGGGTCCCTAGCACCCAATAAAAAAAAAAGTCAGGAACAAAGGGCCTATGGGTATCCATCTTTCCGGAACCTCCTGCCCCCTTTCTGAGGCAGCTTTCTAGCTTCTATTTTTTCTTCCTTACCAATAAAATGTCTTCCTTTTCTTAATCTCCATCCCTCTAGTTCTTCATTGGTGCTGAGTTTATGACCCTGGTTAGCTGCTCATCCCAGAGGTGCAGCAATGCTCACCCTGGGTGCAATAATCTCACTGATGTTTAGGGTCTGGGATGACCAATGTGGGCCCAAGACAGAGAGCTTTCCTGGGATACAGGACTTTCACTGGGGAAATTGAGTCAGTCCTGGGGCTACCAGGGTAGTTAATGGCCCCAGCACTTGGAACTGTGCCTGTCTCCTAACACTCTTAAATATCTGTTGAAAAGAATAAATAAATGAGCAAAGTAGGTAAGAGAAAAAAGCACTTTTAGAGAGGAGTGTAATATGATTATTTATTTGCCCTAAAATCAGAACACATAGCAACACATAAGGCTTTTTCACCACGGAAAGGGGTTCCATGAGTAGGAGATCAGTGTTTTCTAATTTCCAGCTCAGAGTTTGCTGTTATTGGAAGTGGGTGGGAAGAGTGTTCCATTCTCATCTTTTAGATGAATGGTTAGAATTAGGTCAGGTGTGGTGGGGGAGGCACACGTCTATAATCCCACCTACTCAGGAGGCTGATGCAAGAGGATTGCAAAATCAAGGCCATTTAGAGAGATCCTGTCACAAAATTAAAAAGGTCTGGAGATGTAACTCACTGGTAGAGTAATTGTGTGAGGCCTTGAGTTCAATCTGTAGTAGTACAAAAGCAAAACAAAACCAGTCAGAATGATTACATTAGCTTTACTTTGTTTAGACTTAAAAATTGTTTCCACATTTTAAGTGGTAATGGTCCATCTAAAGGTGTACTTTTTCCCATTGCTTACCATCCTGGATCCTGACTCTTCCCACTCTCCTGAATGCTCCCTCCATCTGCAACAGTCTGGATGGTCCGGGGCTGCCCCTGAGCCAATCTGCTGGCACAGCCTGCTGTTCCTGATGCCGACTGCTCCTGCCATTCTCCTCTGCCCCAGTTCCCTCTAATGCTGATCTGTTGTACACCACACACTTCTCTACCTTCTTCATTGAACCAAGCAAATAACAGAGGCTATCAATAAAATGTAACTGCCAGAGTGCAGTGACCTTTAGTAACACAACCCTGAGGTAGGCAGAATCACACTCTTCTAAAACTCTTCTCCATGTTTTCATTATTGGTTACACAAAATCTGTGCCCATCTTCAAGGCAGCTGACTGTACAGCCAAAATGGATTGCTTAACTTTGCTTACAATTTTACATAAGGTGTTAAATCATGGCTGTTAACACTACAAAGCAGAAGTTGTTTTTCCAGCTGACCTTTGTCCCTGGCTTTCCCTGAACTCTTCATCCCTTACAAGCGGTTTCCAGGGTAGCTGTTGGGTGTCTCCACTGCTGATTCCACTTGCAGCAGGGTTTGCCACAGGGCCATCTTCTTTTCCTGATAACTCTCTAGGACAGCAAACATTTACTCAGGAGCTGGACAGAGCTAGTTCAAGCCAGTTTTTTTTTAGTTTCACTGTTCATTTTTTTCTTTCTTTTTAACAGATAATTACCTCTCTCTTAATTACTTCCTACCAAATCAGAACTTGTAGAAATCTCACCTTTTAAACAAATTCTCATTTATATATGCCAAAATATTTTAAGTAAATTATAAGTAATTTGACATTTAACATGCATTTAAAAATATTTTCTCTCCAAATTTAAGAACATGATCCTACATATTTAAACTTAATTCTAATTCCTTATTATTTAGTTTATATTCAAACTTCCCCAATTGTTCACATGGTATCTTTATAGGTAGTTTTTCCAAAGTAGGATCCAACCCAGGGCCATACATCCCATCAGTTTGTTATGTAGGGGTCTGATCCTGGGACTTGTAGACATCAAAATCTGCAAATGCTCAGTGCCGGGGATTAGCTCAGTGGTTCAGCCACCTGCCTCACAAGTGCAAGGTTCCAAGTTCAATCCCCAGTACAAAAAAAAAAAAAAATCTGCAAATGCTCAACTCCCTTGTTGAAATGGCACAGTATTTGCATATCACCTACACATTTCCTTCCATACATGTTAAGTGTCTGGGTTACTTATAATACATAATACAGTGTATATACTCTGTAAATAAGTGTAATACTGTATTGTCTGGGGAATAATGACAAGAAATAAAAGTTTGTACATGTTCAGTAGAGAGACAATTTTTTCCCAAGTATTTTCAATTTGAGGTTGGTTGAATGCATAGATGTAAAACCCATGGATATGTAGAACTGACTGTGTATAGATGAACAGTCTCAAGATACTGACTGTGGAAGAAGCCAGGCCAGCTGATATGATTCACCTAACTGATTCTTGTGGTAGGATTTATCTTGCTTCTATATCTTTGTGCTATGGTGTGAATGTCCCCTCCAGTACTCATGCTGAAACTTAATCCTCTAAATCCTATGTGATGGTACTGGAGATGGGCCTTGAGATGTAATTAGAATTAGAAGAAGTCATAATGGTAGGGCTGTGTGATGGCTTGGTGGCTCTATCTTGCCATGTGATGCCCTCAGCTGTGTTAGGGTACAGCAAGAAAGGCTCTCACCAGATACCAGCACAATACTCCTGGACTTCTCATCTTCCAGAACTGTGAGCAAAATAAACCTTCATTCTTTATATATTACCCCAGTTTATGATATTCATTCATAGCAGGAGAAAACTTACCAAGATACCTTGTATTTCCTTTTTATTAGAAGTGAATTTCAAAAGTTTGATTAGATTCCACACAAGCACATTGAGTTGGTATACATTTGTGATGGGTATTTCTTATTCTGTACCACAACAGGAAACTCATGATATCTAATTTTTTCCCCTTTAATCAGAAATCTTGATATAAATTGTGAAGCAAATTTATTCATCTCATGGAAAAATGATACCTACCCATATAAACAAATTGAGACACTACAAAAGGGTATCAGAGGAAAGAACGTCCTTTTCCTATATTGTACTTTCAATTACTGGTCTTTCTTCTGCAGAAGAGAACTACTCCACCACTTCCAGGGAGCATACATTCACTTAACAGCACATCTAGGAGGTTCTTCCACTTCCCAACACGTTGATTTATTGTGTCCTTTTTAATTTATTGTGTCCTTTTTAATGATTTATTGCATCCATGCTTTAACATCTTGTGTATGTTTTATAATTCACTTAACTCATATGCCACTGTTGGATATTTAGATGGTTTCCATGATGTACCTTTGGACATACATGAAAATAATCATAGAGTGCATGCTTAGAAGTGAAATTGCTCATCCAAAAGTGTGTGAATTTTAAATGTTGATAGATATGGTCAAATTGCTTTCCCAGTAGTTTGTACCAGTTTACATTTTTTAAAGGGGGAACAGGATTGAACTCGGGAACTTGTGCTTGCAAGGCAGGTGGCAGAACAAATGAACTAAATCCCTGGCCCACCAGTTTACATTTTTACAGAGTATATGTACTAAATGTCTTTTCTCTTGCAATCTGCATCAACACAAAGTATTGTTTTTTGGTCTCATCAGTGATAGGTGGAAAAAAAAAAGGCATCTCATACGCTTGGTGTGCACTTACCTAATTTTGACTGTGTTGCTTTTTCTATATTTAATAGATCAAGAGGACCTATTTCCTAGATTAAGGAAAATCTCCCTTAGTTTATCAAACATATGCAAATATTTATGGTAGGAAATCAGATTGCTTTAATCAATACATTTATTATTATTCCCCTTCTTTTTTCCTGGCACTAGAAAAATATAAAGCAAATCTTTCCCCCACCCCAAATAAGGGTACGTCTGAGGGAAAGAGAACTTCATTTTCTTCATTGCTTTTGGTGTAATGTCCATTATAACAATAATCAGAGGGGTTTGCAGAAATCATTAAATGGCTGGGAGCACTGAGGGAGGCAGGGAGGAGGCAGCACCCATGGAGACCCAGAAACTAAGTGCTGATCCCCAGAACTTGCTCAAGCAGAGAGAGGACCTGCTGCTACCCAGGAAGAGAAGAGTCAAATTAGGCTGGGCAGGTTCCACGGTTGTGGATTGTGTGTGGCCACTTCAAAGCTGCCTGCATGCTATATCAGTGCAGATCCCACAACCTGGCCTCCACATAAGCCCCACCAGGTGCACCACACTTCCTGGGGCATCTGATTCACAGCATCATTACCATGTCTGGTACAGTGATCACCAAGCAGGGTGAAGATCTCAGGGCTTCATGTAGTCCCCAGTTTGGTGTCTCTATTTCATAAACCTGCAAGTCCAAGAAAATGATGTATAAGGGTTCTGAATATTGTTGTTCCCTCTCATAGTATCTGCATGAGTGGGGAGAGGATTGGCTCAAGACTCCCTTTTTGGAAGAATGATTATTGTCCTCTGCTGCACATTTTCCCAATTGACTTCACCTTCATTTAGAATGTATGTGTGTACATTTATATTTTTATATGGTATACTTTACTAGTTTTTTTCTTTTATGGCTTTATGATCACAATATTGATCAACACTGAACTTATTTTGAGAGATCAGCCCCACCGTGTAGTTGATCAGTTGTCCATCATTGTTAAATCATCTAGTTCCTCCCCTTGACCTGAGATGCCCCTTCATTACTTATTAACTTTATGCATACTGTATTTATATTACTCTGTTCCACTGGCATTTAAATAATACTAATCAGTTGTGTTTTTTTTGTACCAGGGATCAAACTCAGGACCTAGCACTTGCGAGGCAGGCAGTGGCACTACTGAGCTAAATCCCCAGCTCACCAGTGGTTTTAATTACTCTGTTACATATAGTGATTGTCTGGCAGGGCCACATCTTTCTTACTGTCCCCCTTTTCCTAACTTTCCTATATCCCTACAGGGTTTCCCCCTTGTGAATTTGAGAGTTTGTATGTCAATCCTAATGGTTCTTTTCCTTGAAGTTATATTACATTGTATTAATAAGTTTAGAGCAATTCAACATCTTAAAATATTATGTCTTTCTATGAGCATGTGCATATATTTACTCATCTTACTCTGCATCCTATAGTAACACCCTCAAACTTCCTTCAATAGGTCTTGTACATTCTTGTTAATTTTATTCCTAGATATTTAATAATTTTGCTAGAAATGTGAAATAGATCTTTTCCCATTATACTTTCAGTTGTCAAGTGCATATAGAAAAGCAATGACTTTCATATATCTTTGATCATATTACTGAATACTATTGTCTATAACCTTTCAGATGATCTTATCAAGATTTCTTGCAGTATAGATATTTTATCTGCACCAAATAATAATAATTTCATCTTTTCTTTTCCAATATTTTAAATTATATAGATGTGTTGTTTAGTATGATCAGAACAAGAGAAATAAGAGAGGTGATTGATGTTGTTATATGTACTTTCTAGGCTTTATTTTGGGGGCATGATTACTAATTCATGTTGAAATGCTTTTCCCTAGTATGTTTTTATTATATTTGATGTTTAATCCAATTATTATATAAATTATGGAGTCTTTCAATGTAGGAAATCTTTCTTTAAAATTTTTTATTTTGGGGCTGGGGCATAGATCAGGGGTAGAGTAGGTGTTTTCCACAGGCAAGATCCTGGGTTCAATCCTAGCACAGATATGAAAACAGAACAAAAAACTTTATTGGTCTATCTGCTTTTATCTCGAGAGTTTTATCTCATCAGCATCCTAGTGGAGGACCCTGCCCACATTGCACCTGGATGTTTAACAATCTGGGGTGACTTTTGTCCTATCAACAGTGTCCCAACTAGGAGCCATCCAAACAAAGCAGCACCACAGTGAGGTTATTAAATCCTCTCCTTGCTACAGTTTTCCATGGCTGCACAGTACTTCAACAAGTGGATGTCATGGGTATTATCACTGAGGCCAATCTTTATGATATGCTTCATCTTGTCTTGTTACTCACGGTCTGCATATCTTTTCAAGTTCATTTTTCCTTATTATTGTCCTCATTCACATTTTTCAACCCATGTCACTCCTGTGATTGTCACATTCTGAAGAAAATATTTTAATTATGTTTTCACATATGTCACAACTGTCAATCTGAAAAGCTGGATAATTTATTTGCTCTTTCTAGAAGTCTAAATGTAATGGTCTTTGTTAAAATAAGCCTCAACTGATTTTCACTTTTAAAAGTCTTTATTAGTACATGTTTATAGTAAATAAGGATTACATTCACTGAGGGGAGTTGATACATGTGATGCCATGTCTTAATTTTTTTTAATCCTCTTCCCTCTCCTCCCTTCTCCTTCCTTCTGATTTTCATTTTTATAAGCCAATGGATCTGGATTTAAAAGTACTTCCTTATCACCTGCCATCCATCATTCATTTGTATCTGTTTCATCACTTCTAGCCTGTATGGTATGAAACTGGATGCATGTCTCCATTTGTGCTGGTGTGGATCAGAAGGGAGAACTCAGAGCAGAGGACAGACCCCAGCTCCAATGTTGCCTCCTTGCTCTGTCGCCATATTCACAAGTAACTCAGACACCGTCCACAACCTGAATGGAGAGTATTTGTGTGTTGGATCCCAAGGACTGGAGATTGTTCCTGCATTAAGTTCAATCTTTTTTTCTTTGAAATTTTCTCTTTCAAAAAGAAAATGATTAGTAGCTCAGAAAATTCAACATCTATAAAATGAAGAGACTTGAACGTTGCTCCAGGTAGACATTCCATTGTGGAGGGACAGGACAGTGGCCTTCTTTCAACGCATACTGGTTACCAGAAAAATGTCTCTGTGGTATGCAAGCCAGCTGCCTTCTAAAACTCTGAAAGACTTGGTAGAAAATGAATCATCGACTTGTTGGCTTTTCAGAACTTTGACTTTGAAACTGTGGTTCCAAAAGCAAATGAATCTGATTTTGTCTCCTTGGGCCAGTGAAGAAATTCAAACATATGGGTTCCCGTCCCTAGTTCTCAGAACTGGCATAAAGGCCTTTATGAAGAACATACTGTTCTGTGAAGTCAGGATTCTCTTAGGCCACCCATACTCAAATCTGTACACTAGACTGTGTCTTTACTCTATATCCTATCTCCTTTAAATCAACAACAATTCCTAATACATCAATACTGGAACCTTAGATCCAAAGTTTTTTTCATTGTACATTGTCATGTGAACATTTGAAAAATCACCTACTGGATTGTGAAGACTGAAGTTCTCCATTGTAACCACCCAAGTCTTGCCAGTCCTTGTATTCTTATTCTAGCAAATACTGATGACCTGTAAGTCCAGGCTTCTTGTAAGCAACTAGATGCCTGTCAGAACTTTCATAGACTCCATGGAATAGATATCTGGTTAAGTTATGGAATAACTTTCCAAGAATGAGAAGTATTTTTAAAAGAAATAAGTGATTTTGAGAGGGTGCAAAGAGAGACTGGATGGTCCTGGTTGGAGCTGCTGGCAAAGATATATTGGTACCTCATCAGTGGTTTGGTTCACTTGCAAGAACCCTGAAGGCCTTGAAATTATGGCAAATGATTCACTTTTTAATTTTCATCAAATGTGATTGTATATCATGGGTAAAACACTAACATTTAAATGAGTTCTAGTTGTCAACATCACAGAAACAAACATCAGAATTTAATGATTGATTCGTATTAAGAAAAGTTGATAAAAATACCTTAAACTCAACATTTTATTATCTCTCCTCTCTCTCTCTCTCTTGGCTTTTTGAGACAGGGTCTTGCTATGTAGCCCAAGCTGGCCTTGAGCTCGTGCCAATCCTCCTGCCTCAGCCTCCTGTGTGCTAGGATTACAAGTTTGAGCCATCATGCCCAGGTAATTTAATATGTATCTCATGCAGAACTAGAAGAGAGAAATTAGAAGCTTCCGAGCACACACACAAAAAAAGTGTATAAGGAGATGGAAATGCTAACTCTGTTATACCGTGTATAATGTATACAGTTGTCTAAGAACAGTTGTATAATTATACAACTTTGTATAATTATTGTATGTCACTTAAAAATAAAATACATACCTCTGCAACAAAAATATTTGGATTGATTCTGATAAAAGTAACATCTGTATGCATGACAAAGATGGGGAAGTATAATGATTGAGAACACAGATTCCTGAGCCAGACCATGTGGGCTCAAGGTGCAAGGTACTAATCCCACACTTAGCCACGGTGCAACCTGGGAGAGCTGGTGAGCCTCACTAGACCTCCCCACCTGTCCCCAATGTGTTACAAACACTGCCTCACTGTCTCCCCCACAGGACAAGGCCTGTGACAATAAGTAACAAATCCTTATTATGATCATTCCAAAGAACATACACAAAATTTAAATATTCAGGCACTATAAAAGGTAAATTATTTTTAATTTTATTAATTATCACAAGCTGATCCATTTTTGTTAACAAAAGAGAAATGGGCACATGGTACTGAACACAAACCTAAGGCAAGAAAGTATCAAGACCAAGATGCATTTGAACTCTGACTTTTAAAAAAAATCTTCTAAAACTTTTATTTTTATTTATTTTACATAATCAACATATTTCATTGAGTGTCTGTGATTATGTCTAACCTAATGCCAAATAAAGAGAAACAGAAGAAGCACAGAACATGGTCCTTTCCTTAGATGGTTTAAAATCTAGTTATTTGTGATTATCTAGACACAATTTAAAAATAAGGAACTAACAGTACCTTAAAGTAGAAATTATCTGTGAAAGTACTCACTTTGGGAGGTTATACCCTGATGTCAATAATGCCATGGTTGCTCAAAATGTGTTTCGCACTCTTTCTTTCAGGGCTGCCTTGAAGCGCTTACACAAATCAGTGAAGGATGCAACCCACTGTTTTCTTTTGAGTGTCGCCCCTCTTCCCAAGCACCTAGCTTAGGCACCTGAGTTATCACTACGCTCGCTTTCTGGGGCTTCTGATTATTTTAAAATGTCAAGCCTGGTTGTTCTTGATGGTCTTCAGAAGAACACAGCAGAGCACTGGTGATCATGAGTACTTGGGGACAAGGGGCTCAGTCCTCTGCCTCTCCTGCTACATCCTGCGCTGCCCATCTATTAGCACAAGCCCAGGAGGAGTCAAGGATTCAGACCCTGGCCGCTCAGGGCTGAGATGAAGACAAAGATGAGGACCGGCTCCACATGAGGCTTAGGGACTGTGAAGTTCTGCTATTTCAGTATTTTCTTTTGCTGCTCCTTAGACATCTGGCCTTGATAGTGAAGGACAGAAAGGTCTGCCCGAAGCTGGCAGCAGATTCTCCCAATATTCCCTTCTAGCCCTGTGTTTAAAAATATATATCATTAATTAACTAAAAGATCTGTACTTACAAGTCCAGTGTCATAAATGTAAATATATGCATGTCCATGTGCATACACATACAGTTTGAGGTCTATACCTATATATGTGGATCACACACACACATATATACACATGTGTAAATGTATGTGTATATTCACACACACATGTATTTGGTAGATGACGAAGCTAAATGGAACTTTTTCAACCTGCAGACACTACTGGCATATTCATGAATGCCGGGCCTCACTTACATTTCTATCTTCTTACAATCATTCAATTTCACATTACCTGTCGGAAGGACAGTGATTTCAGTTTTACATATTTTTTATGAATTACATTCATTCTGAAATTTCTAGCAGAATCCTAACTATAGTCAATATTTTAACACAATGAGAAGTAAATGAACAGTTTTTAATGTAATGAGACAACATATAATTAATTCATCAACATACAAATTACTTTCTTAGCATTTGTTCTTTGTTTTTTACAAAGAAAGCAGTACGATATGTTTTTATAGTTCTTCCCACTTGACTGATGAAACAATGAAGAGACTAATATTTTTGGATGATAAAATGTCAGAAATCTGCAGTTTATACAGGTTTCTGTGAAATCATAAATTTGGCAAACATTGGAAGGACTGGGAATTCAGGGTGCAAGGATGTCACGTTTTATTCTACAGAGAATGTATTTTTGTTTGTTTTTCTTCTTTGCAGTTCTAGGGGTTGACCCAAGGCTTTCACACTGAACTACATCCTCCCCCCACCTTTATATATATATATATATATATTTTTTTTTTTTTGGTACCACGGATCAAACTCAGGACCTTGTGCTTGTGAGGCAGGCGCTGGAACCACTGAGCTAAACCCCCCAGCCCTTCCACCTTTATATTTTGTTTTAAGAAAGGGTCTTGCTAAGTAACTAGGTTGCCCAGGCTGGGCTTGAATTTTTTATCCTCCTGCCTCAAAATGCTAGGATTACAGGTGTGCACTACCATGCCCAGCATGTTTTAATTTAATGACTAATTAATTTGAAGGATCCCTAGGAGATGATAATTAAAATAAGCCAATTTTCACTTATTTCAGCTATTTTACTCATTGTCAAAGTATGCTTTCCTCATCTTTTAATTATATTTACATTTAGTATAGTTTTTAAAATATGATTTAAATAAAAACCATTTTCTCTGATAAATATTCATATCTTCCAGAAGAAAGGTTTGGCTGAATGATATCTTGCCTAGTTTTACAAACGAAACAAATTTACATTAGGAAAGTTATTCTAGTTCAAAAATGAAGACCAGGAACACGCCAAATCAGCCCGCTGCAGACAGGCAGCCACCTGGTTCCACACTACAAAGACGCAGAGGACATCGGACTACCAGACCACGGTACTGAGTCCTGCTGCTCCCGGCCCAGAGGTAGGGGCTTCTGAGCCGCCGTCCCACTGCTCCTGGCTCAGAGGAAGGGGCTTCTGGGCCACCATCCCTCTCACTGCTCCTGGCCCAGAGGTAGGGGCTTCTGAGCCACCATCCCACTGTTCCTGGACCAGAGGAAGGGGCTTCCCGGCCACCATCCCTCCCACTGCTCCCAGCCCACAGGAAAGGGCTTTTGGGCCACCATCCCTACC